GATCCCCTGTTTTCCACATCTGCATCAGCTTCCTCTCCCCTTTGGTTAACAGCCATTTTAACTGGGATGAAATGAAATCTTAATGTGGTTTTCTTTTTTTAGGTAGTACTGGTGACTTGGACCATCAGCTAAGGCCTTATGCTTGCTCGGCAAGCACTCTTAAGCTTGAGCTATATTTTTGAGACAGGGTCTGGCTAACTTTGCTTGGCCTGAACCTCTTGATCCTCTTGCCTTTCACCTTCTAAATAGTTGGGATTATAGCTTGTTGTGCCACCATACCTGGCTTCAAAGTAGTTTTGATTTACATTTCCACTGGCTAAAGATAGTGAGCATTTTCCCATATATTTATTAGCCATTTGTACTTGTTTTGTGAATATTCAGATCATTTGCCCATTTTTTGATTGGGTTAACTTGTTCTTTTGTTAAGCATTTGAGTTATTTATATATTCTGGATATTAATCTTCTGTATAAAGAACTCTTTAATGATAGGAAGACACACATTCAATTAAAACATGAACAAATGATTTTTAATAGACATTTACCTAAAGGTTATGTAAATGACCAAAACCACATGAAAGATCACTAGATCCCAGTGATTGGGACATGCAAATCAAAACTACACTGAGGTACACATTTGGTAGGGTGACAAAAGCAAAAAAGACAGTAACAGGTTTGACAAGGATGTAGAGAAATTCAAATCCTCACACATTTCTGATGGAATTATAAATGGTGCGGCCATATAGGAAAATAGTTTGGCAGATCTTTAAAATGTGAATGGTTTTTACGTGACTCAGTAATTCCATTTGTAGTTATATGCTCATTAGAATTGAAAATAATGTTCAAACAAAAACTTAGACTCGAGTTCATAGCAGTATTATTCATTATAGCCAAAAAACTAAGAGAACCCCAAACATCCATTAATTGATAAATGGGTAGGCAAAATGTAATTTACATATTCCGATGGAATATTATTTGACAATAGAAAGGAATGTAGTTATATGCTACCTCATGGAAGAACCTTGAAACATGATGCTAAGTGATAAGTCATCCTAAAAGGTTGTGCATTCTACTGTGAGGTTTCCATTTCCATGAAGTGTCCAGATCAGCGTCCATAGAAACAGAATGTAGATTGGTGGTTGCCAGAGCTTGGGTAAGGGGAATGAGAATGACTGCAGCTGGGTATGAGCTTAGTTTTTGGGGTGGTGAAAATGTTTTGAAATCAACAAACTAAACATTGACTTTTTCAGTTTAAAGGATAAATGTTATGGTATGTGACCTGTCGGTGGAACTGTTGCTTAAAATGGGGTGGGGAGGGGAAGGTAATTTTACATTAAATTATTTATATAACTTCAAAATACCTTGTAATTTGAGTGAGACTAGGGTAAAGAGATACCACTTATTTATCACAAAACGTGTGTTGATCTACGACGGCATGGCAGCCTTAAATATTATTCCTTGTGGCTTGTCATACAAGAATATAAACAGGATTTTGTATGCTTATTTATTTCTGAACTATCATGAATAATTTTAAATCTTTTTTTCTATTTATTATGTATCTAAAAAAGACAGACCTATGCTTTTAAAAAAGAAAACACTTAAATATTTGTAATATAAGAAATTCTATTTGGGTAAGAATTGAAAACAGTGAATTATTAAAAATTCTAAGTGGACTAATGAAATAACACATTTTTATATTAAGAAATTGATCAATCATGGTATTGCAATGTCAAACTTACATTTGCTGTTTTCATGTAAGTGGCAGAAAATAGCTAACAAAGAACAATATGAGAATTATTTTCATAAATTTATTTTCATTAGGTTTCCTTGAATAATGTTCATTTTAATGTCTAAGAAATACATATTTTAAAAAAGCTATCCATAGTTTACTTTGTAACTTATTTTATTTTAGAAACCTTTTCTCTCCCACGAGTCTAATAATTTCTGTCCTTTTTTGAAACAGGACTGGAAATAGTATACTCTATTTACATGGCATGGAAGCTTGTCGACCTGAGGGAGCATCACTTAGGGTATGTTATTAATGTTAACTGTAATAATGATAGAATGCTAGGTTATATGTTCCTTTATTATTGTTCAGAAGTATTATAGAAAATTGCTTCATCTAGCTCCCATGCTTGATGAAGTTTTATAAAATCAAATTGGTTTGTAGTCATAGACACTTTTTTTTATTAGCATCTATGGTTGTACAAATATGGGCTCATTTTGATTTCCATACATGTTAGAATGTATTTTGATCATACTGCCCTCTGTTCCTTGTTTTTCTCCTTCCCTTCCCCCCTTTCCTATTCTACACCCTAAGTCTCCTATTGATACTTCTGACTTTCTGTTGCAGCTCATTAGGACTGGGGTGTGATCAAGCCGTGGGCACCTGCTAGCAAGCATGAAGGCTTGAGTTCAAACCCAGTACTCAAAAAAACAAAAAAAACCCCAAAAAACCAGTTTCAGTTGTAGCAATATTCATGTCTGTATTTCTTCCCCGAAGTAGTAAACACTACTTGGTGAATATTCTGGAAAAAAAATGTACTACTTAGCACTCAGATACATAAGAACCAGAAGTTTGAAATTATTCAAAGAATAATTAGTTCTTTGAATGATTAGGTCTGGTCTTTGTATGAATATTAACATTAAGTAAATGGCCTCTTTTTGGCACACAGTTTATACGATGCACATATAAAAATCTTCACTTCTTTGTCAGGGATATAGTAGTTTATTTATGCTATCTGAGCTTCAGAAGAAGGATAGAAGTGCTTTTGCTCAGCTTAGTAGGAAATAAAGGACTTTGGGAAGATGGGTTACATCTAAATGCTAACTGGCTATCATTGGAAGGTCTTGTTTCGTTTACCTCTGGCTAGTTGTGATGCTAGCGTTTTTATTATGAAAGAAGAATACGTTTCCTATATATTTCTCCTTTACTCTTTAAGCATAATTAATTTGTGAACATGTCAGTTTCATATTTGGTTGTTAATGAAAAATGTATCAGGAGGATTGAGTTGCTTCTAAAATTAAATTTTAATGAAAATATTTAAATTAAAGTTGATAGCAGATTAAGTGTTTAAAAAATTCTGTCAAGTTTTATAAGAAAGGGCAAAACCAGTGGGATTTTGGAAGATGGCTCTAAGCAAAGTCACCTTGTTAAAGTGTGGTACAGTTTATTAGAATTTTGTGATTTGACAGCTTTTCTAGAGCATTGTAGCGCCTAATTGTTTGTATTGAATGAGTAATCTGCAAATGCAATTACAGTTCATTAATATGCATATACAAAAGTCACCTCCCATTGTGCACCTAAAACTGCACTATGTAGAATATTTAGATACATTAGTTATATAATGTGTTTTAGTGTGGTGGTTATAAAATTATTGAGAGGATAGAATTCTGTCCTCTAGATAAGTGATTTTTATAGTTTACAGAAGTTAGAAATAGCATAATGCAGTACTTGCCCCATCAACCAGCTTCAGACTCAGCAACTTCTGCCATCTCAAAAGTAATTTCTGGTTAGAAGTAATGAATTCAGGGGTGTAGTTAGTCCATTTAAACTTTAGAAAGGCTGTTTTGGAGTTATATGTATTTGTCTTTGGCATGAATTTACAATTGGGGCTTTTAAGACGTTTATCTTATTCTGCATGTGTTGAAAAAGTCATTTATGGAAAACAGTTTGTCTCAAGACTGACTTAAGTGGATCAGTGTTGTTTTGTTCAGATGACAGCATGTTGGGCATGGGAAGAGTGGGTGCTAGGCTGCTCTGACTTTGGAGTCAAAAGTGGTGACGTTTGAGTGTGGCAGCTCTGCAGAGATTTCCATGGTGGAGAGATGCCATGGAGTCTTTATTAGGGAGCGGGCTCAGTGCTGGGGAAGGCAGTGAGTGTGAGTGAGGATAGTGTCATTAGTATAGCATATTGGGTGGGGCCCACATTCAAGGGTGAGGAGTTTGGGCTTTCTTCTAAAGGTTGGGGAGATTAAGAGCAAAGGTATGGGATGATCAGACTTAATGTTTGGAGACCTTTTTGGGATCTATGTGGAAAATGGACAATAGGTATGCAAAAGTATAAGCAGAGGTATACAGCTGTGTCCTGTAAGAAGCAATGGTGGAATGGTGACAGGTGGGACTGGGTTTTAGCACAGGAGGTAATGAACTTGGCCAGTTTTGGAGGATGAAGTTTGGAAGCAGGAGCTGGTACAGCGATGGACTTGAAGAAAACACAGGAGATGAGTATAATGACTGCAAGGTTATTGGCTTAAATACTTGGGCACTGATTTTGGGAAAGCCGATTTGGGGGGAGAAATTCAAGACCTGTTTTGGACATTTGAAACATGAGGTCACAAACTGATGAAAGTACCAGAGTACAGAGGAAAAGAGAGCCAAGGACAGGTCCCTGGAGCTGATAACATTAGAGGTCAGGTAGAGGAATGGGGTGATGTGAGGAGGATCCCAAGGACACAGAAATATAACTTGTAATTTAAATCAAAAGGCAGGAGTCCCAGAAGGAAGCCTAAAGGAGATGATAAAGGAAAAGTGGAATTAGTGTGAGCACAAGGGAAGATTTAGGTGATAAGGAGGGTGCAGATTATTTTTAGAGCCTTGTCTTTGGAGCTTCAGGGAGAATGGGGAGAAGGTAGAGTACATACACAACTCTAAGGGGAGATTTTCTGTTGCTCACTGTGCTTGTATGTTGTGGAAGTGACTCAATAAAAGAGAGAAATAGACGTTAACGGAGAGGAAGAGGCAAGCTTACAGGAACTTGGCAACATAGGCAAGGAATGAGATCCAGGGTGCAAGTGAGGAGACTGGTGAGGACAGGAAACAAGGCAGAGTCTGTTACTTAATTTAAGGTCAGATATTTTTAGATCCATCGCTTGTGACTGTTTTCCTTTCCTATGAAGAATTGTGTTTCAACCTGTTAAAGAAATCTATGTTTAGTGATGCGCATATGAGATTTGCTTTTGCCCCCTGGAGTTAAGTGACGTTCAGTTGGAATGTTCAGAGGATGAGGACCTTTAGAGCAGTCTTCCTGATCAGCATGTTCCAGGTGCATAAGAACTGGCTCCAGGGTGCCCTGAGACCAGAGAAAGAGGCAGACAGGTCCAGCATTGTGCGGTTTTTTGGGTACTTAACTGACAAGAGTGTGATTCTAGGTGACAGTAAGACCAGTACCATATGATTTGGATCAGAAGTAGGGTTTTACAAAGCGGCCAGGACAAAAGTGACTTCATTCAAGCTGTGAGGTACCTGGTTTGTCTTAAGCTAATATCAAGGACATTAGTCATCTTGCTGGCGTTAATCTCACCAGGGTCCAGTTGTAAAGCTCTGTGTACCCCCTGATGTTTTTATTCACAGTATGCTGGGAAGCCATGGTGGGAAGGGGCATGGGGCAGACCAGAGTTACTCAGGGGCGGTTGTAGAGGTTAGATGGCTTTTAGTTATGCCACGTTGAATTTCTGCAAAATAGGTGAGAAGTAGTGAGAAGCACAAGCAAAAAGAGCACTCAAGAGGTATTATTGGATTTTACAGACAGGAAAGATGGATGCTCTTAGTGTTACCCTGGCTGGAGGAAAGTAGCTGCCTTGTGCAAAAACAAGGTGCTGTTGAGATGGTCACGTTGTAGCCAAGTCTTTCTATTCTGTTTTCATGAGGAGGATCACTCATTCTCTGATTTGAGTTTTGGTATATTTTAGAAAAATTAATTGGGATCAATACAGGATACTTCTAGATGATGCTGTTCTTGAAGTAATTTCAAATATTTCACCATACATGTTTTCATAATTTCATAATTTTTCTTCAGGGATGAATAGACTGAAATAGCAAATCTTTACACTTCTAAAATCTCCATTTAGTCATTTAAAATACTTTTCAAACACTGAGTTAATAAAAGTATACTTTGTCTAAATTTATGTAATCTTAAGTAACATTACTGTTGAGCTGTGAATGATATTACCACTTTTTTAAAAATAGATTTTCCTTTCTAAGTTTTTTGGATTCCTTCTCATTGTCTTTACTTTGAGAAAGATTAATTTGTCCTTATGCTACTTACAGAGTATAAAATACATGCCTCTTACAGTAAACATTGAGTGCTTACTAATACTTTTGTTTCTAGCATATCTTTACTAGATTTTGTTTTTGGTTTATTTTGGTTTTTGATGGTACTGGGGTTTGAACTCAGAGCTTCATGCTTTGCTAGTCAGGCCCTCTACCACTTGAGCTACTCCACCAGCCCTCTTTGCTAGATCTTATTTTAATTTTGTTAATCCAGGTGTTAACAATACTCATCTTGAGGGATAAGTAATTGTGATGAGCCGTATAAAATAATCTTAACTTTCAAGACTACATGACTTATTTCAGTTTTTAAGCTATTAGTATGTTTGTTTTTTTTTTTACCCCAAAGGTATTGAATTCATGTCTTTGTCTCTTTTACAGGTTAATGTGTGAAACTGTGAGATATGAAAGACATGAAGCAAATGAAGTTTTATACTAGTAAGTGTTTCTTTTCTGTTTGTACAATGTATAATGCAGTGACTAAATTTCCTTAAATTTATCAAGGGAGTATTATTGACAGTTGGCCAAGTTAGCATTACCTTATTTTCGTGTTAATTTATTTTTCATGGTTTAGAAACATGAAACCTTTCAATACTTCCTGTTGTAAAATAAAGTTTATAGTCCTTTCCTGGTAAGTTCACATTTGTATCTTTATGTCTCACATGTGGGTTAGAGATATTAGTTCACATTATCAAGTATTTTGACTTTTTTGTCATTATGAAATAGTGCACAGTTTTTCCCACAGAACAATGGAAGTATTCCCATCTCATCACCAGATGAGATGCAGAGATAGTCTCCGTGTCTGGGTTTAGTTTGTATGTCTTTCACATACATAGGAAGATGAGGTGCCCACATCTCTGGGTAGAGTTTCTCTTTAAAATAGTACTGGCATCTCTTTCAAGATTTGTAACGTATTTCTTAAAACCTGACAACTAATTTGTCCTCCTCCAAACATGGTTTTGACAATGTTGTGACGATGAACTGGGCACTTTCTGTGTCCTGCATGTTCTACTAACTACTTTATGTGCATTAGTTTACTTGCCCCTGATAGATGTCTCACAAGGTAGTTACTCTCGTGTCTCAGTTTTACACATGGAGGAACTGAGGCTTGGAGAAGATAAGGAACTTGCTCAGGTCCCCGCACCTGAAGTGTGACCTGGATTTGAGCCCAGAGATTTGTAGTGCCTCACCACAGTCACCAGTATTTTTCAGTCCTTTGTATGCCAAGCTGACCAACAGTCAGCCCCTTCCTGCCCCCATTCTTCCCAAGTGTGATGGTAGCAACCAGAAATCACACCAGTAGTTCTTTCTACATTGCCGTGATTCATCTTTATTGAAGCTAGATTTCAGTGAGATTACAGTGTGTCTAAGCATCCCTGAGGTGTTGTTAAAGCCTGGTTAGAACGGCGGTGAGCTGTGCCAGTGATGCAGAGCCACAGCTTAGAAATCCTAAATGGAGTGCATTCAGCTTGGTAGCTACACCTGATTGTAGCAGTTGCTCACAGTTGGCTGGTTAGACTTAGTTGTCATTGTTGGTGAGCAACCAAAGTCTGTGGATATTCAGTAAATTAAAAAAATGACAAATTGTAGATTCACACAATCAGATTCCTACTATTTGGCCAGTATAGTGCTGAAGTGTAATTGAGATATTTTCTTCTGTGATTCTTGAACAGACATGCTTCTGCCTTTACGAGTTGGTGTAAATACAGTTTTGAAAATTAAAGAACATCTGTATTTGTCCGTATATAAATCTGTGATAACTTAATAATACATCTCTCTTTGGGGACCTGTTGTCATTACTTTGTGCAGAAATGACTTGTTTGTTCATGTTCTCCCTTGAGCTTAAAGCACATACTGTCGTCAGAATATCAAAGACTTTGACTTGGGTTTTATGACCAAGAGATGAATAGTCATTTTCCTTACTATGTTTGTGTGCTGGAGACTTCTAACTCTGTGGTGTTAATTACCTCACCAGGGCAATACAGTATTCTTGATCTACCTCTGTTCCTTATAAAATGGACACAGTAATAGTTTCTGCTCTTCATCTTGGCGTGAGGATGACGAGATGCAGTCTTCTGTGTGCAAAGTGCTGAGAAGAGCACATCCAGAATGAGGCCACACAGGTGTCACTGCTGACAGTGACACTGTTGTCATTGTCATTGCTTTGGCAGTGTACGTTTAGGTCTCTCCAGTTTTTAGCTGCTTTAAACTTCTGTTTGAATTGTGCAGATGATGCCTTCACTCCCCGGGTGTCACTGTTTTAACACATGCCAGTGAGGCTCTGTGAGTGCCATCTGAAATTGAGACTGGGAGGTAGAGCACAGCTCTGATAACATTGCCTTTTTCAAAATTTAGAATCGTCATTTATAATTTGTTTGCTTGAGAAAGTTGGATAAAATTAGTTGATTAAAATTTGCGGAATGAAAAGACTAGCAGGTCTGCCTTTCATTTATTAATCTAATGGTTAGGTATTTACTGTCTTGGGAAAACTAAGGTGAATAAAATAAATCCCTAACCTGTCGAGCTTGGTCTGGAATGAGATACACTTTTTAAAAACACTGGAGAAATGATAGTAAAAACTGCAGCATACCGCAAATGAGTGGAAGAGTTTTCAGTGATGAATGTGTTCTGAACAGTCTTAGATTCCTGGGACTGTGACATAGTGCAGTATAGGAACTCAGTTTTTATTCATTTTGTTTACAGTTCTGGGGATGGGGCCAGGGACTTGGACGTGCTAGACAAGTCCCAAACTGGGACGTGCAAGTCAGCCCCAAACTGAGTTCTTAATGCTGTCTGTCCTGCCTTCATTCTCCCTTAAGGGCAGTCATCCTCACCTCCACTACTTCAGTTTAAGGCTCAGCTACACTGAAAACACTCAAAACTTTTGCATTGAAGGCCGCAGTTGGGCAGAATCACACATGTGTGTGCCCCCACCTCAACTGCCCACAGTCCAAGTGTTATCTGAGCCAGTGCTTTGGTTTCTGCAAGAGTTCCCATGGTACTTTTTTTTTTTCCCCTCATTTATTCATATGTGCATACAGTGTTTGGGTCATTTCTCCCCCCCTCCCCACCTTACCCCTCACTGTCCAGGCAGAAACTGTTCTGCCCTTATCTCTAATTTTGTTGAAGTGAGAGTATAAACAATAATAAGAAAGACAAAGCATTTTTGCTGGTTGAGATAAGGAGAGCTATACGAAAGATTCCTTGCATTGCTTCCGTGTACATATGTGTTACATTCTAGTTGATCATCTCTAACTGACCTTTTCTCTAGTTCCTGATCCCCTTCTCCTATTGGCCTCTGTTGCTTTAAAGTTCCTGCATTAGTTCCTTTGCATTGAGGACATCAAATATTAGCATGTTTTTTGGGTTTCTTACCTATCTGCATACCTCCCTTGTGTGCTCTTGCCTTATCATGTGACCAAAATCCAATCCCCTTGTTGTGTTTGCCCTGGATCTAATGTCCGCATATGAGGGAAAGCACACGATTATTGGTTTTCTGAGCCTGGCTAACCTCGCTCAGAATGATGTTCTCCAGTTCCATCCATTTAGTTGCAAATGGTAAGATTTCATTCTTTTTCATGGCTGAGTAGAATTCCGTTGTGTGTAAATACCATATTTCCTTAATCCATTCTCCAGTAGTGGGGCATCTTGGTTGTTTCCATAACTTGGCTGTTGTGAATAGCACTGCAATAAACATGGGTGTGCAGGTGCCTCTGGAGTAATCTGAGTCGCATTCTTTTCAGTATATCCCCAGGAGTGGGATTGCTGGATCATATGGCAGGTTTATGTTTAGATTTTGAATAAGCCTCCAAATTTTTTTCCAGAGTGCAGTGCCCATGGTACTTTGTTTAAGGTGTTTGTCTCTCTTTATTCCAGGAGAGGAAGTTCCTTCAGAAAAGAGTTGCATTGGGGGCGATTGTCTTTTAAAGTGTTTTCACCTAGACCTGTAAATGTGCAGTTAGGGTCAGACCTAGCGTAGTGCCCCAGCTTCTGGTTTCCACCATCAGCGTCACTTCACATTCCACCTCAGGACAGAGGTGTCCTTTTCCAGCTCTCACCTGTGTTCCCAGTCTTTTCTTCTGGCTCCTTTGTCATAGATTGTAAGCAGCCATGGTTTCTTCTATCACTAAGAAGTGTCTCCTTTGTCTTGTCCACCTCCAATGATTACTCTATTTTTTTTCTTTTCTGGATGTGGCCAAATTTTTCTTTTATGTTTATAGTCTTGTTTTTGAATTATTAAAATAGTACTTCATCTCCTACTTATTGTTTTGTTTTGTCCCCCTGTGAAATACTTCATTTCTTTTCCTTTCTTAGCCGGAATGATGTAAGCACTATTTTGAATATCTTTCCTGTCTACCTTTTTAATAAGCTTGTATGTGTGTATAAAGAAAATGGTTGGAACTAAGGTTTTAATTCCTTTGAAAACTGATATTTTTTAAAGAATTAGCCTTTGCATGGAATTGTCGTAAAGGGCATTCACCACCATGCCTGATATGTGGCTGTATACATGTTTACAGTGTGCAAGAGTGAAAACTTATGCACAGTCACACCTACACCCACACAAACACACACTTCAGGAGTTGTTTTATGTAGATGTGGTGATTCTTCAAGGTGATTCCTTGATAATGACATTTTTATATTTACTATTTTTATTTCTTTACATTTTTGGTGATGCTATGGTTTTGAACTCAAGGTCTCATGCTCTCTAGCCGGATGCTCTACCACTCCAGCCATGCCCCTGCTCCTTTGTGCTTTAGTTATTCTTCATATAAGGTGTTGCATTTATTGTCTGGCAAACATAGACAGTGTTCCTCCTACTAATACCTCCCTTGTACCTAGGATTACATATGGGTACCACCATGCCTGGCTTATTGACATGGGTTTCACTAAATTTTTGCCCAGGTTGGCATCAAACCGTGATCTTCCTGATCTTTGGAGTAGCTGGGATTGCAGGCATGCAATACCATACACAACTTTTGTTACTTTTTGAATATTTTGTTTCAAAGGAAGATGCTCCTTTAATCTTCCTAATAAAAGCCTAGCTAGTTACTTGTCATTAGGTATCAGATTCTTTGTATCAGTTTGCCATGGAACTACTTAGCGATGAAAACCTCTAAAATAATGTTCACAGATGAGTAGGCTTACTTTGTATGTGTTCTCCTAAGTGTGGACTGGCAGTACTACACACTGATTTTCAGAGACCTTTTGGTAGTGGAGTTGAGTGGATGTGACTTTAAATTTGGCTCTTTGTGGATGTGTGTAAGTTACCTTTAATGTTTTTGAGAGCCAAGTTACTCTAGGTGAGGAACAGGCTGGGAGGATTGCATTGCAATATGAGTCTTGAAGACAAAATTGTGAATTAATCTCATGACCCATCAGTGGGTTCCAAGAGTCAAATTTTCAAATTCAACTACTCCTTTAAATTTGGTAAATTATTG